TAGCGTAGTCTCGTTCTGGATTCGTGTCCATGTTTCAGAGCTCGGTTGCCCGCTGGGCCTGACCGTGACCCGACCCGTGTTTTCGCCATGTCTACAGCCGTGTAGTCATTCAAGTTTTTAAATGAAATAGAATATGTTAGAATATCACTTGTGAGTTGTCCCACATCGTTCATACATGGAAAATAGACCCACCTTATAAGTCTAATGGGCTACTCCTCCTTCCACCAATTGGTTTTGGGATGGAACCTCATTTGGGCTTCATATGGGTTTTTCCTCTCATGGTGCGCTTCATGTTAGTGGGACCGCACCGTTTTCCCCCCAGTTTCTTAAATGGTATCAGAGCCGGTTCTATTGGGACCGTGCGATGACGTACCCGTTTATGGGAGTCTGCTTCCCCACGTACCCGTTTATGGGAGTCTACTAGAAAGTGTGCTTCTAGTAGGCTTGGGGCGCCCAGTTGGGCTTGGACTTCCGAAGGACTCACAAGTGAGGGGGCGTGTTAGAATATCACTTGTGAGTTGTCCCACATCGTTCATACATGGAAAATAGACTCACCTTATAAGTCTAATGGGCTACTCCTCCTTCCACCAATTGGTTTTGGGATGGAACCTCATTTGGGCTTCATATGGGTTTTTCCTCTCATGGTGCGCTTCATGTTAGTGGGACCGCATAAACGCAAAAATATGTCTCATTTCAACAAGAGAAATGCTATAAGTACATAATAGAGTACACATCCACAATGTAATTAAGATAGGGGCATACTATACTGACAGTTTTGCTATGGAGCTATCGGATGGCTCGGCTTATGGAGCAATCCATACTTAATCACCAATAGTGCATTGACACGTGTCCTATAATAAATACAATTTACACATGTGTCACTATATTAAGTGATGGATGGCTCCATAAGAAAACAATCCGATGACTCCATAGAATTTTTGACTATACTGACGTGGAGCATAACATAAGCTTTAACATAATAATACATGTTACTGTTTGGTTATTGTACACATCACATTACTTTTAAAATCAACAATTATTGAACACGGCCGCCTCCCTCTCTAAATTCTGTCCTCAGCTTCAGCTCGTCATCGGCGCCCGTAACAAGTAAATTAATCAATATGTTATTGAAGCATAATTATTTGAGTTTTCGAAATTATATTGGAAATATTTAAATCTGAAGATTCAAATTTGTGTTCAAAATTTGAGGAGAAAAGGAAACACAAGTCAATATGGTTGTTAGGAACTTAGGATTTTCCGGTTTACTGTTTTGGTTTTTTTTTTTTTTGGTTGAATAGGATAAAGATGACCGTCGTCATGCCGTGGCTTATTGATATTTTTTTTAATAAATATAATATCAATTCTTAGTTCAACTAGATGCATGAAAATAATATTTTGTAAGAAAATATGTGAATTAATTTATATTTTATTGTGCAATGACAAAGAAATAAATAAATATAACACAAAAATATAAAAAAAAAAAAAAAAAAAA